CCAGGCCCACACCTGGTGGCTTGCTTTCTCACTTTCTGTCTGTCTCTCTCTCTCTGGTCAAATTTAAAAAGTAAAGGAATTAAGAAGTAAAATTAAATTAGAAGAGAGAGAGAAAGGAGCACCTGGTCATCTAGTGTTGCCCTGCCCTGCCCTGCTCAGCTCTGCTAGCTCACCCTGTCCTACCCTGCTAGCTAGCCCTGCCCTGCCCTGCCAGCTAGCACTGCCCATTTCAGGCTTGATTCGGCCTGATGAGTCCTGATGGCCTTGGCCAGGCCACGCGCTGTGAGCTCCCAGAGGAAGTGCCGTAAGCGTTCTTGCAGAGGGGAGGGCGGCGAGCACTGCTGTGGGCTTGGTGAGCCTCCTAAGAGTTCTGTGGGCTTCCACTAAACCCTGGCCAGCAAACAGCACGACCTCAGGGCCTCGTGTCTTTTCCAGCTCCCTGCGTCTCTGTCCAAGCTACGCTCCGGAGGAGAAAGGAACCTCACCATACAGCCTGCCTGTGTTGAACCAATCATTTGTAACGCATTTCCAGGAGCTTGCACTAAGACTGGCATTAATTCCCCAGTCGACCCCACCTGTTCCAGACCGCCTCTCCTCTCAACACCTGCATCCCTCTTCATGGTGAAACTGCGTGAGCCTCCTCCCCAGCCACTTTGGGGACACGTGAGGAGTTGTGACAGTGCGGGAGCGCCTTCCTGCCTTAGGTGAATGTTGCTATATAAATGCAAAGTATCGTGTTACAGCTGGGCCTGTGGAAAACCCAGGGACTTTCAGAGCCCCCATTTTTTCAGCACTGAGAAGTAGCTCTAATGTGAACACAGCTGCCTCAGTGTTCTGTGCAAGAGGAGCAATCAGTATGAGAGAAGGCAGGAATGTCAGCACGGCCCCGGACGTCTTCCCAGACCTCCCGGTGGCCCTTGGTGACGCATGCTCTCTGACCACCGCATCCACACGCTGCCTCCTGGCTGCCAGGTGTTCCCGTCGCCGCCGAAGCTCTTTAAGGCTGATGGAAATGAGCTTCTATTAAGACTCATGCCGTGTCCTGCTTGTGCAGCTCATACAGAACCCATCTGCTGTGGTCTGAATGCTGGTGCCCTGTTCCCCATAGTAATAAGAATGAGGCCTTTGGGAAGAGGTGATTCATGAGGGGCCATTCTTGTGCATGGGATTCCTGCCCTCACGAACCAGGTTCCCGTGAGCTCTCTGCTCATCTGCCGTAGGACACAGCAATGCGGGCCTGTCTTTGAAGCTGAGCGCCCTCCTCTGCCATCTCGTCTGCCAGCGAAGCTGCCGCACCCAGCTCTCAGCCTGCCCAGCCCCCAGAACCACAGAAAGTACATTCCTGTTGCCTAGAAATCACCCAGGCTGTGGCATGTTGTAATAGGAGCCAGGATGAACTAAGACACCCTCTTGTTCCTCATTGCCCCTTGGCAGCCTGACTGGCAGATTTCTGGGCAGTGGCCAAGAAGACAGGACTAAGCCCCACTGGTACTCTTGAGCAGACCCTCCGCGGAAAGCTGGGGTGACTCTCCGTGGTGTCCAGGACGACATCCACACCCCTCAGCCCAGTTGAATAGGAGTGGTTAAAGGGGTGTAGTTGCCTGTCCAGCACACCCCTAATCCCATCACGAGGTCCTTTCCATCCTCTCTCACTGTCACCCTGCAAAGAGAAGCCCCTTCTCTCATCCACTCCACAGGGTGAGGGAGTGAAAAAAGCATTGGGCTTACGGTTCAGAGGGCCTGGATTTAGTTCCTTTTTTTGTCCCTTATTAGTTGGGCGACCTGGTATAAATTCTTTCTAGTCTAACATTTATTTTCTCTACAAACATGCATATGATGCAAAATTCAGAAGATGAAATGTGTAAAAACAACTGAAGGAGAGAGTCCCTGCTTCTCACCTGAAGGCAGCCGTGTTAGCAGGTTCCAGTGACTAGATCCAGCCCATGCATGTGCAGAAACATGTATGCCTACCTGTAAATATCTTGCTGGATTTTTACTGAGATGGCGTTAAATCTGTAGGTCAATGGGAAATTGGTCCATTTGGCAAGAACTGACATCTCGACAGTATGGAGACAACCTTCCTATCTATGTTCACAGCTAGTTTCCCATTTATTTGCACCTTTAATTTCTTTCACCAGAGTTTTATCTTCTCCTCATACAGATCTTGCATGTATTTTGTTTGAGTCATACCTAAGTGCCTCACTTTTTTGGTGCTAATGTAATTACACTAGTTTAAATTTCACATTCCAATCACTCAGTGCTGGTATGTAAGGAAGCAAAGAACTTGCATATCAACCTTGTACCCAGAAACCATGCTATAGCCACTTATTAGCTCCAATTTTTGTCTTGTTGATTCTCTGGGATTTTCTACATCGATAATTTTTTCACTTTGTCTCTCCCTTCTATATCCAACTACGTTTCATTTCCTTTTCTTGTCTTATTGCATTTGCTAGGACTTTCGGTGAGAGTTGAATAGGAGTGGTTAAAGAGGTGTGGTTGCCTTAATCAATCTCAGAGGAAAGCAATTGGTTTTTCATATTCCTGTGTAGTAATGCCGCAGCAAACCAGTACAGACATGCTCGGCACCTATGTGCTCACCAAACCTGTCCCTGTGAGCTGGCACGAAGGTTTCGTTATGTAGCTATGACTGATTACACCACCGACCATTCAGGTCAACTCAACCTTCAGCTCCTTCCCCTCCCTGGGGTGGCATAGCTGGTTTCCCTGGCAGTAAACTCCCACCATGAGAGTAGCCAGGACCTCCCCGTGTCACCTCACTAGAGCACCCGGGAAATCCTGAGGGACTTAGGAGCTCTGTGTCAGATGGTCCTGAGCCAATGGCTGCCTACTGAGAACATGGAAGCCAGCCTTGCCTCACACTTCTGCAGACTCTGAAGGGAAAGTTACACTCCAGAGGTCCCCAGGGATCACATGGGGCTGCTCCAACACCTGTGGTGGGCAGGATCTAAACTCATAGCAGGACCATATTCTGGGGTAACCCTCAGCTGGGTGTGCAGGACCCAGGGCACGGTGGAGGGCTGCTCCTCTTCACTGCATGGTGGGTGTCATTACAGCCCCCAACAGTCAGCTCTGAGTTCATAAGAAAGGAGACCGTCCGGAGCAGCCCCACCTACACATGCGAGTCTGTGGCAGGGATTAGGCCCCTCCTGAGACCCCAGAAGTGCCCTCTTGCCTGCCTCAAAGAAGCAATCACCAAGCTCATGCCTGTAAGAAAGAGCTTCTGCCCACAGCCTTGGGAGCAGAGGACAGGACCCCAGCCCAGGACAGATTCTGACCTGCCCGACACCTTCATTGGAGCTTTGGGACCCTAGGGGCCAGCTTCACTGAGCCCAGACATCTGACCTACGGGGACTGCGGAGACACCCCACATGCTACTGGGGAAGGAGCAGTGGGGGTGTGGAGCAGTGGCACATGCTGGCCATGGCACCTGCACTCTCGCCCTCAGCCCCTCTCCTTTCCCTGGTCCTGTTCCCCAGCCCTTACCGGTTTCTCCTGAAGCCTTGAATAAGCCACTTGCTCACGGACTTCTCACACAGGGTCTTTTCTGGGAGGTCATACCTGGGACAGTCCCTCCCTTAATGAGTGCATCTCCAGCCAAGCTCAAAAATAGCTGTGCCTCATTTCCCTCTCCGTCCCCGTAGCTCTGTCGGCGGAGGCTCTCTTCTTGAAACATGTGGCCTCAGCAGTTGGCTCAGGTCACCACCCCTTTAGAACCTGCGAGAAAGACGCATGGGTCACAGAGTGGTCCAACCCTTCCCGGCTTGCCTGGCCAGCCACAGACTGCACTTGCTGGCTGCAGGGGCTGGGAGGGACAACGGCCCACCCAGGGAGGTCCTCAGCTCAGGGCTGTGACATGGGACCTGGGCAGCAGTCGCCCGTGGGGTGAGAGTCGGAGTTCCGGTTGCTGAGCAAGGACGAGGACAGAAACTACCGGGTGAGCTTGAGGACGACACGTGCACGTGGCCAGAGAAAAGGGAAATGTGAAGCTGCATAGTGCCCTGTTGGGAGCCCACACCCGAGGCTGTCTGGACACCGCCCGGCGCGCCCCAAGTGGGTCGGTCTGACTGATTAGGGCCTGGATGAGGGCACAAGTAAGGGCACAGCTGACCCGACTCGGGTGCTCTAGCCCAGCATCCCTCAGGGGTCTTCTGAAGCCCTGACCATCCCTGGGACAGCTGGCTGTGACGAATGGTCTTTCCCAACCCACGCCGCCGGTGGTCTCTGGTCCTGCCCCAGCCTCTGCCTTCCAGGTATCAGGTGCCAGGTGTGGGGGTCAGGCGTCCTCACTCCCTCTCACCTGCCCAGGTCAGAAGCCCATGGAAACCCCTTGGCAAGGTGTGATGAACTCTCCCGCTGGGAGTGGACTGTGAGAATACCAGTGGTCAGGAGAGGTGGCCCGTGTTGGGCGAGGGCACTGCAGCCTGAGCCATCGCCTGCAGTGCCCTCGCCCAGGCACTGAGACAGGCCGGGCCCGATTGACCCGTTTTCCAGAAATATTTTAGGCTTTAGACAATAAAATGTGGAGTATATTAATATTTACTTCACATTTTGATGCAATAATAAGGTACATTTATTAGTTCTTTTATCAATTTATTTCAATGTGTGAAATGAACATTTAATTTTTTTAAGTTTATTTATTTCACGAGAGGGAGGGAAACAGAGAGAAACATGTGCGCCCTCAACAGGGCCTGAGCCATGCTGCTCCCCCGAGCCTTCGCAGCCAGCCGGGATCATGGGCACACACGCTTCCCCGGCACGTCCGGGCCAGCCCAGGATCCAGACCCCAGTCGGCTGGCTCGATTCAGCCTGTTTTCCAGAAATATTTTAGGCTTTAGACAATAAAATGTGGAGTATATTAATATTTACTTCACATTTTGATGCAATAATAAGGTACATTTATTAGTTCTTTTATCAATTTATTTCAATGTGTGAAATGAACATTTAATTTTTTTAAGTTTATTTATTTCACGAGAGGGAGGGAAACAGAGAGAAACATGTGCGCCCTCAACAGGGCCTGAGCCATGCTGCTCCCCCGAGCCTTCGCAGCCAGCCGGGATCATGGGCACACACGCTTCCCCGGCACGTCCGGGCCAGCCCAGGATCCAGACCCCAGTCTTCTGCGGCCACGGGTGTCTCAGAGTGCTGCACTCTTTCACACGTGAAAAGATACTTTATTTCACTAACAAAGAAATATAAACATAAAAACAGCATATTTTTAAATCTATAAAGCTAAGAAAGATTTCAAGGAGAGATTTTGCGCAGAGCTGGCACGGGCATGGGGAAACTGGCACTCTCACTTGCTATTGCTGGAGGGTGAAGTAGAGCAGACCTTGTTTTTGCAAGGTCGATTTTAACAATACATTTTAAAGTTTAAAGCTTGCATTTAGCTTGTCTAAGACAGTGGCCTAACCAAGTGTGTTTATTTCTCTTCCCTGCCCAAATCTCACAGAAGTGACAGAAAATGCACAAAAGGGCACCCGTGGCCTGATGGAGAAAGCTGGAGGAAGATTCGGCAATCCACACAGTGGTCTGAGCCCACGGCACGACCTCCATGGAGCCATCCTGTGCAGCAGCTGAGGGTTCTGAGCTCTGCGGCCCTTCCCAGGTGCAGTCCGCCTCAGTCTGCAAGGGCTCCTGCCTCTGGGCACCTGCCCGTCAGCCCAGTGACTCACGAGGCACAAGCACCTGCAGAGTTCATGGAAAATGTGTACTATTAAAAAGCTACACATGGATTTCATGTTAGTTCTGCACCAAAATAACTTTGTACTTTAATTCCATTTTTCCATGAATTTTGTGAAGTCCCCTTGCACATGCCTTTAACATAGTCATGGACATTGTCAGCAGTTACACTTCGAGGAGGCACAGGAACTAGGTGTGAGCCAGATGTGTTATACTGAGCTAGTCAAAGTCCTGAGTGAGACAGCATCAGCAGCTGAAGGAAACAGCACTGCTTTTCAGGACAGGACAGAAGGACAGAGAAAACTCCCGAGAAAACATGCCTATGGCTTTTTTTTTTTTTTTTAGAGGTTTTTGCTATAGGGTGCATGTGCTCGCCAGAGAGACAGAGACCGAGAGACAGAAAGAGAGAAATCATACCCCCAGGGGGGCAATGGCCATGTCTCATTCCCTTCTCCTCCATTCTCCTCTCAGGATCTTGGGCACGCACACACGCACACCCGGTGTGAGTTTAAGCCACCAGGTCTGGGACTCGAACCGTGGCCAACTACATGGAAGTCCAGTAACATAGCCATTATGCTAACCGCTGGTCCCAACCTATGGCATTTTGTGAGTCACTGCTTCCTGCACAGTTTCAGTGTGAGATCTCCAAGTTTCACTCATTTTCGTTTTTTTTTTTTTTTTGATAGTTTTTTTGCTATAGGGCGCATGCGCTCACCAGACAGACAGAGAGAGACACAGAGACAGAAAGCGAGAACTCACTCCCCAAGGAGGGATGGCCACACCGCAATCCCTTCTCCTCCATCCTCCTTTCGGGATCTTGGGCACGCATGCACACGCGCCTGGCGTGAGTTTTAAGTCACCGGGTCCGGGAGGCAAACCGCGGTCAACTATGTGGGAGTCCAGCGACATAGCCATTACGCCAACTGCTGGTGTTTTTTTTTTTTTTTTTTGCAAGTGAGAGACAGGCCCTTCCACCACATCTCACCAGGCCATGATCCCCATCCAGCCCCGTGGCGTCCTGGGTGCCCAGCGGGTTTCAGGTCGACTTAGGATCCAGACCCACTGTTAGCGGTATGGCTTCCAGCACTGCAGAGCTACAGGAGTGGCTGCCCGTGCCACTGTGCTGGGCCCCAGTCCCACTGACCTGCGGACCCTGCCACAGCTGGGCTGGGTGATGCTAGCTGGAGAGCCTGCCTGGGGGTGTGCTGGGAGTGTGTCCACCACCTCCTCCTGACACTTCCACTGACTTCTCAGGTCTCTTGCTTCTTAGGGGCAGGGCTAACACCCTTTCCAGTAACTGATGGTTGGACAAGGGGTTGGGGAATTGATCCACACATTGACATGTTTATCGAGGGTCACGTGTGTTCTCAGAACATTACCACTGCACCATGGAGCCAGCCCTTCCTTCCTTCCTTCCTATGCCTAAGTAAAGCCCTGCTGAATGGACATACCACATTTTGTTTACTCACTTTTTTTTTTTTTTTGAGAGGTTTTCACTGTAGGGCGCGTGCGCTCGCCAGACAGACAGAGAGAGACAGAGAGACAGAAAGAGAGAAATCACCCCCCAAGGGGGATGGCCACGCCGCAATCCCTTCTCCTCCATTCTGCTCTCGGGATCTTGGGCACACACGCACACGCACACGCGCCCGGCGTGAGTTTAAATCTGGGGCACGAACCGCGGTCGGCTACGTGGGAGTCCAGCGACATAGCCATTACGCTAACTGCTCGTCCCTTGTTTACTCACTTTTCAGTCCAGATATGTTCGGGCTGGCTCCACTTTCCGGCTATTATGAGTAGTACTGCTATAAACATTCATGTTCACGGTTAGTGTGGACATGTTGCCAGTTCTCTTAGACACAACCAGGGGACACTGCTGCCCACACAATGACCCTGTTTACCTCACAGAGTTACAGAGGAGGAGCAGTCAGGCTGTTTCCACAGGAGCTGTGCCATCTTCCATCCCAACTAGTAGTGTGTGAAGGTTCAGTCCCCGTGCCCCCTCCAGGACTTGTCACTGCATTGTCTGATCATGAGTTTACCTTTCTACCTGTTGCATATAAACAGAGGTGAAGTTTGAAACGGTGACCATGCACATCTTCTGCAGGGACAAACTACTTTGCTCATAAAGACAGGGTTTAGGAATAATGAACCCAACGCCATTGGATGAGACATCAAGTTGATCTTGAAGTTCTCTTGGAGTTACAGACCTGAGTCCATTTCTTTGAGACAGATCTTTGCTATAGGGCGCGTGCACTCTTGAGAAAGACAGAAAGTAGGAAATCGCCCCCAGGGGAATGGCCCACCGCAACCCCTTCTCCTCCATTCTCCTCTCAGGATCTTGGGCATGCAAACTCTTGGGTCTGGCATGAGTTTTAAGCCATTGAGTCTGGGACTCAAACCGTGGTTGACTATGTGGGAGTCCGGTGATGTAGCCAATACTCCACCTACTGGTCCCTACAGAACTGAGTCTGAATCCTGCAGCTCTGAGGCTTGTGGCACCTGGTACAACTCTCTGGACCTCAGTCTGTTTCCCTAATATGATTGTAATAATTCCTGTTTCCAGGATTCGAGACAGGATCTCAGATTCTGCATCTTAAGTGATTTTGTGATTTTGTTTTGTTTTGGTTTATTTATTGCCATAGGACAGGTTCAGTCACCAGGGAGAGAGAAAGAGAGAGAGAGAGATATCACCCCCTGGAGGCAGTGGCCACACTAAAATCCCTTCTCATTCATTCTCCTCTGGATTTTGGGCATGAATACATATGCTCCAGCGTGATTTGCAAGCTGATTCTGAACTTCAACCACAGAGTCGGCCATGTGGGATCCAGCACCTTAACCTCCACACCACCTGTTGGCCCTCTTAAGTAATTTTGAGGGCTCATTTTTTTATTTGTTTGTTTTTAATTTCCTAGAGGACATGTGTGCTCTGAGAGAGAGAGAGAGAAGGAAAGTGAGGAAGTATCCTCACAGGGAATGCCCACATCGCACCCCCTGCTGCTCCCTCTCCCTGCTCGTGGGGTTCTGGGCATGCACCCACGTGTGCCCAGCATGTTTTTCAAGCTGCCAGGTCCATGACTCAAACCACTAGTTGGCCATGTGCATTCCAGCTGTCTCAACCACCACACCACCAGCCTGGTCCAAAGTCTCATATTTAAGGAAGAATTAAAAATTTGAGTATATTAAGTCAGTACAAACAATGCCTTAGTTCAGGCTAAGAAACACAACAGCCCACGTAGCTGAACAATCGGCGTCTCTTTCTCACAGTACAAGAGGCCGGGAGTGCCAAACCAGAGGCCACGTGTCAGGTCCTGACAAGGGCCACCTCCCTGGCCTGCAGACCCCATTCTCACTGCCCTCACGTGGTGGA